AAACTTATACAATAAGCTTTACAATTTGATACATTATAATGATATAAAAATATAATATTTAATAAAATATTTCACTGTTGCTCTAGGTTCCTAAGGTTAAATTAAAATAAATTAAAAAAAATTACAATTGTAAGCTTGCCTTTAACTTCTTTAACTTTTTTTTTCCTGAATCATAAAGTGACATTATTGCTGTTTTGATTGTATCAGCTTTAACTAAATATGCTGTAGGATTCAAATACTCTATAATTTCAATTAATTCAGTGTCTTCAATTATATTAAATGGGTATTGATGATTAATAATTTAGATAGCAAATATATCACAAAGCTTTATATTATCAATATCAACTAACATTAGGTCTTTAGAATTCTATACAATATTTTTCAAATTAGATTAGCTTAAAATTAATAGAACTAACTAGAGTTCTGCAAGTGCCAGACATGATACTATTAAAATATAATGCCTGTACTAGACATTATGTTTTAATAGTATCATGCTTGGCACTTTCAGAACTCTAAAGCTAATCTTTTTAAATGCATTCTCGACAGTACCACATTCACTTTGTGCCTTCTTTTTTTTTTTATTAAATTCCTCTGTCATGACATACTGAGTCCAGTATGCACTTTCTAAATAGCGCCATAGCATCCTAGTTGAGCCTCCCTTTCCACAAGAAAACTCTTTAAGTTGGCACTTGGATACTGTATATTTAGCCATTTTTTTTCCTTTTGCTATACAACCTTTTTAAAAAAATCTCACACCTTACTTCCATTACTTCACTTGCTAGTTACGCTACAAATATCATCAGTGTTATTACAACAGTTATTACTATAGCCGTTGTTATAGTCATTAGCAAGGTTATTGCTATGGTTATTATTAGAAGCATTTAATAGAATTTCTGTAGACATAAAACTTATTATTCATTAGCTAAATTTTTTTTTTTTTCTTACTTAACCTGATTCAATTCAAAATAATCTTCTAAAAAACTTCTCTAAAAATAATTGCCTTTTATAAAATAAATTATCGCAATTAATATTACACTATTTATCCTAATTATATATCAAATTCAAGTTACTGCTATTATCATAATTCTTAGAACACCTGATAATTTTCCTGCTATCTGAAATATTCCTAGTCTTATCTGTTAAATTACCTAACCTTTTAGAAACTATATTGCTGTCTTTAGACCTTCAATACGAAGACAGCGATACAGTTTCTAAAAAGTTAGGTAATTTACTAGACAAGACTAGGAATATTTTAGGTAGCAAGAAAATTATCAGATATTCTAGGAATTATAATAATAGCAGTAATAAATATACTTATCTTTTTTATATGCAATATAGTATGTTGACTAAATAAGAGAAAAGTGTAAGTTAAAGCTCTATTTATATAATAGTACAGTTTATAGTTTATAAACTCAATTCCTGAAAAGTTTTCAGGAATTGAAAACCTTTTTTTTGAATATTTTATATTCGAACCAAAATATGTTTATGAACTTTGAACTGAACTCGAACCAAACTTATTACTGTATTTGAGTCTGGTTCGGGTTTGGGAATTATGAGTTTGAGTTCGGGTTCAGGTTTGAAATTAGTAAAAATTGCTGTTCAAGTTCAGTTCAGGTTTGAGTTCGACCCAAACTGAACCAAACCTGAACTGAACATCGGAACTCTATATATAGCAAACTTGTAATAGAACAGAAGCCTTTAAAAATATTTAAGAAAAATTTGAGATTTGCTTGAAAAGCTAAACTGAAAATACTTAATATAGATTATCTGATATTTATGATTATATAAAGCTTCTATATATCTAGAATTATCTAGAAAGAAATAAAAGTATTTTAGAAGACAATATTTACTGTATCATGTCTTATGTTTCTTCAGAAGTTATATGAATTTATACAAACAATTAATATTTATAGCTTTAGTATTATGATAACTAAATATTAACTAAAGGCTTTTGATAGACATGATTTGAATATCAAGATTAATTGTGAATTATAGCTATTATACTCTTTTAAAACTCCTAAATACTATATTAAATTATCTTAGCAATGTATGAAGAAATAATTTAATAATTATTACATTTATAAAATAATTAATTTGTACAGTACTTTTTGAAGCTAAGTTTGTTAAAATTGTTTAATATTTCTTCATACAATTAAATCAACTAGCTAATCTAATGAATGTTTATTTTTATTAATTAATCTGAGTTATCTGAGTAGCAGTAAATTAACTCAGTTAATAGATCTTATATAGGTTACTAGGTAACTCTTATATAGGTATTTTAATAATTATCTAATTTAAAATATATACTGATTAAGCTTTTCACACTAATAAGAGTAAAATAGTATTACTAGTTATAATATTATTATTCTAATATTATTTAATACTTCTAATAAAGAACAAATAATTTTAATAGCTTAACTATAAGATTTTATTTTTACTAGATTTTTGTAATCAAATTTAAACTATTTATAGGAAAAACTTTATATATAAGAACAGAGCCAAAATTAAAGTGTGAAATATATGAAATTATTAGTTCTATAAATTTTTGAACTAATATTTATCATTTGCTTAATATTCTTCACTATATTGTATTATTTTAAATAAATTGCAATCTGATAAAGCTTGCTTATACCAGATATTCTAAGTTTAGGCTATTTTATTTAATTTTGGAATAATTATGATGATGATTTGCAACTTAGTACTTGACTTATACTATATTTGAAATGCTGATAGCATAATTGGAAATAGTCTTTATTAATTTTATTCTGTCTTTTACATACTAATTATTGTTTAGAGAAATTTAATATTAATATTAACTATACAAATTTTGGCTCTTAGCTAGTTTATTATTATCATATATAGTTTGGAAGTAATCTAAAACATATTTTAAAAGAATTTGATAAATTTTATTCAAAAAAGTATCCTTTTGATATGGATATATGAAATCAATTTTCAGATAATATTTGTTAATACTAGTACTTTACAAGTTCTTCAACAAAAGAATTAGGTTTAGTTATAATCTAAATTTTTAGAATATATATAATTGTAGCTGCTATAGAGTGACTTTGGAGCTATATAGAATTTTTACAAACAAGTTAGTATAACAAATTAGCAGTATATATATCTAATTATATGAGTACTGATAAGAACAAACTTGCAAATCTTATAAGATTTACAGATTTTTCTTAGCAGTATTCATATAATAATAATCTTTTAAATTATAAATTTTTAAATTAAGATTTTACTATATTAATATTAGCCTGCTAAAGTTTTACAAATGAGCAAGTTATGTACAGATATTGTATATAGTTATCAGCTTCAATCTGATACAGTATATACATATGATAATAATATCTCTAATATATATATAGAAATAGATTCAATTGAACCAAATAATATTGATACTAATATTGAAATGTTTGATTTAGATAGTGCAAACAATTCAAGTTCTAATAATGCAAATATTAACAAATCCTTTGAAAATGAATCTTCAGAAAATAGAGAAATAATTAAAGCTTTAGAAAATAGAGAAATAGTTGAATTCTTAGATAAAGAATCAGATAGTGAAGATATAAATGACAAGAAAGATTTTAATAATTATTTACAAGATTAATTAGATATGTTAGAAAAAGAAAGACAACAATTTGAAGAAGAAAATATCAAGAAGGGATATGTAAATGAAGATAAACTTCTTATAAATGATATTACTCATCCTGCAATTGATACTAATACAAAATAAGAATTAATTATTTTTTTTTTTATTTTTTTATTTTTTATTTTTTATTTTTTTACAAGTGACCTTTTTGGCTAAACACTTTATTAAATTTTTGTTATAATTTATTACAAGTAATGATTACAACTAGTTTTAATATCTATATACAACCAATTAATAATCAATCAACTCTTTCTGATAATTCCTTTTTCCAAAAATTTGAAAAAGCAAAAAACAAAAATTTATTGAGGAAGATAAAGAAATTTCTTTTACAATACAACAGTTTTTACAGAGGTCAACTGCTTTCTCTTAAAGACTCCTTTGTATATTCAACATGCAAGCTAAAAGCAATATTATATAAGATAACTAGCAGGTGGAGCTCTTGTATAAAAAATTTTAGTAAAGAGATGAAAAAGAGCTCTTTGTTGATGAAGTTAGTAAAAGAAGACTTAAGAATAGAGGACAATAAATTATTTTGTCTACACACTCCTTTGGAACTTAGAAAACAATAATATACAATAAGCTTTTTCCTCCAGTCTTCTTTTTTTTCGACAAAAAGTAGGGAATTTGGTTTTCCTCTTCCAAAAGATCGGCATTGTTTACTCCTTCCATTTTTAGAAAAACTCTATAGATATGCAACCTCGTGCAGTAAACAAAGCCATGTACTCTATTTGACAAAGTCATGTACTTTGTGTTTACAAAGTAACGTACTTTGTTTACTTGTTTAGTTTGTTATATGACCTCGGTACTACAGGTCCTAAATTTTAAGGATGAATTGTACGTTAGAAAGAGATACATTCAAGATAGGTTATAAGTTGCACAACTTAAAATTTTTAAGCCTGACTCAAGTTATAGAGTATCTGGTTACCTTTTTTTTTTCCATCCCTTCTATTATATTACTGCCTAACAAAGTTTTTACAACTTGAGGCAAGTTTTTCTTTGTTAGTAAGCTTAGCACTTTTAGATTAGTAACAATTTTTATTTTTTCTTACTACTAGGTATTAATATTTTTTAATTTAGCTTTAGTTAGATTATGAGGAACCTGGTTTTGGCAGTCTGATATCATAGTTCTAGTTCTAATAACTAGTACGACAGGTCATATTTAGGCACTCTTAGAAGCAGCTGAGTAATGTCAAGCTTAGAAAATTAGGTAGAATTTTTCTGTAAAGTTCAATATATAACTAGTAGGATAACTATATATTAACAACCTAATAAAGTTTTATGACAAGACTGTTAAAAGAAAAAAAAAAATATCTATGTACAACCTTAGGACTAATTTATCCTCAAAATATACTTGACCTAAATTATGACTAACTCACTATAGTCTTAATCAGGGTTTATGCTATAGCTATCTTTATTAGATCACCTTTCTCTGTATTCACCACATTACTCATATTCCTATAGAGATACTACCAAATAGGTACTATAGATCACATAGGGTATCATAATTCTTATAGAAAACTTCTTGTTTGGTGTTTAGCTATCTAAACTCATATACCTTCTAATTAGCTTACAATACTCAATCTAGGTTTATAACTAATACAACTACTGCAGGACTATGTATGTAGCATTTATAATGTACAACTGTATTTATATACAGTACTACTATCAATACCAGATACTCCTGTATATTAGTAGAGTACAGGCTATGTTTTGTAACAAAGTTGCTCCTAACTAGGTTCGTAATACATAGTACTACTTTCAACTTGCTTCTGCATTAGATGAGAATTAATTGTACTTTTTAAAACATTAGAACTAAGAGATATTTTTTAAAATTTATAGCAATTAATAAGTAAAATATGAATGAAATTATCTATACTTATATACTTATATATTTAACAGAACCCTATTTTGCTATTTAAAGCAAGGCCTCAGCACAATTGAAATAATAAATTATATATTGTAAAATAGCTTGTAGGAGTCATTAAGTATTTATATAATAGTGTTTTTTTTTTTTTTTTTTTTTTTTTTTTTAATGTTAAGATGAGGTTTTGCCTTTATCTTTATTAAAATTTGTATGAAATTCTATAAGGGGTTTTTCAAAGTTACAAATTTATATACTAGAATTAAGACTCAGACTATAAATAGTAAACTATCTAATTTA